TCTCCGTGAATGGGTGAGAAAGCAGTTTTCTTCCCCTTGAGTCTACGGATGACTCGCCAAAGCTCGTCACTCCCAGGTTCAAAGGATTCCAAGAGCTCCTCCCACCTTTCGTTTCGGTGATCAATGATGGCCTGTTTAACTTAGTTGGCCATCCTACTTGCTGCAATTTTATCTCCTGGGAAGAGGGTTCGCTGATAAAGCCTTCTCAGGTGATTTCTCTCTCGTATCATGGTTTTGATACGAGGGGGAAACTCATTGTAGCTCCTCAGCGGACACTTCTCCCTGGAGGTGGCCTCTCGAAAGCTCGAAACGTTCAACTTCCACGTCGAGTTCGCTGGGAGAGCAAAGTGCCTCAGGAAGGGCGCGCATTTCTCCGAGCTGGGTTGTGAAGATATTTTAGATATCATGCGGTAATCAGGAGAAGGATTATGATCGGAATCCATTTCCGACACAACGTAAATTTTGCTAGACAGAGAGATATTTCTGAGAAGCGCGATGTCTAGTACGTCAGGCCTAGTCTGTCTGAACAGATTCTACCACAATTCTGTGGTAGAATCTGTAATTTGGAATGATAATGGATTCGTTTCTCAGACGCGTCTCTTGAACGAGAGCCACATCGATGTTATATTCAATAATGGAAAGAATTCCATTAGCATTCCAAAAGACTATCTTCAGAGATCTAGGCAATGTTGGTTGTCTAGACATTAGCAGTTCCAGTTATCACGTCGGTATTCACCGTGAACATTTTCTGTAGCATGGAGAATTGTACGAACAATTTTTTCATCTGGTCCAATGCGGCACAGATGTCTGAAACCCCTGCGTCTGAAGTGGGAGCTCCGGTTGAGAAGAGGTGTGCTTTGCAGTACTGCTGGCACCCTTGGATACAGCCTTAGCAGAGCTGACCCCCTCCTGGACGCGTCCAGATCCCATAGGTCTTCCTGAAGGGGTTGACTTCCTGGCGGAAGATTTTCCTTTCTGCTGTACCTTCGGATATGCCGAGCAGCCACGGTAGTTGGCGGTGTGGGCCCCCTTGCAGTTATTGCATTTCGGGGGGTCAGTCCTAACCTTTTCTGGTGATTTCTAGTTTTTAAGTTGGATTTATGTTAATTCAGGTAGTCCGCCTCCCTTGTTGATGCGTTGCTATTGGCCAAAAAGTTATTACCTGTTAATGACGTAACATTGCATTGCGCTGTTGCCACTTTAGCATCTTTCAGTATGGAATTCGAAATCCGGTTAAGTGTTACCACCTCCTCTTTTCTGTTGTAGTTTATGGATTTCTATGACTTCCCGTACAAACCGACTTATTATAAACATTTCCGCAGGTGCATAGTATACGGCATACCCCGCAGCCAATAATGAATCTCTTTTGCCTTTCGCAGATATAAAGCTTTGTTGTATTTTCCTGGTGGACTTGAACACTGTTTTTATTTAATACTTCCCTAAGATTTTTCCGATTCTGTCTACGGTAAAAATGCACCTGGATGAGAATATCAATTTCTTTAGTTGATGATAAAAAACTTTTGTAATTTTCTTGAAACGTATGTTGAGAAGAGAATAAGTTTTGATGCAAGAAGTTTTGAAATAAAGCATTTCCTTGGGTCATTTATTTTTCAAGATTGCCAAATTTTCGGATTTCTTTTTGTGATTTTACGATTTTTCGAAAAATGAACATTTTTATTTCATGTACATCAGTGGAAATTAATTGTAGATTTCTATATATCTCTATCAACTTCTACAGTTTGCAGAACATTTTTTGTGGCAATTGTTAATAATAATAACCGTTTCTATTGACAGAATAGGCTTGTTCTTCCACTCGAACATTTCTTAATTTTCGATTTTCAGTACTCACAGTATCGAACATTTAGTTGCAAAATCAACCTAAGTATCGTTTTAATATTCTTTTTCTTCTGATGGTAGTTTGAAATTTCAATGCATTCATACCAAAAAAAGTTTTATTTAGAATGACTGGCCTTTTTACACCTATGATTTTATTTGATATATTTGGTTTGAGATTTCTGACGAATCCAAAGTTGATGTTCTCGTGAAGGATATTGTTATTGTCACCTCTTACTTTTTCAGTATTTCACTACTACTACTATTTCATGCAGTGCTCATATCCATGGAATTATTTGCACTGGGAATAATAATGTTTCGTTAAGTTTTCATAATGAACTTGATTATTCAAATCATATTCATAGTCATTGTGTTAATCATAGACATCAATGTCAAATTTCAATACAATTTGCTGCATTACAGTTTTGAGAATTATTCCACTGATGCTTGACAATGTTGATAATAAATATGAAATCGATATTTTTGAAGGGATTTGTTTCATTTGCTTTGATTTTTCAGAATTTCACAGACAAATATAATCAAATTCAGTGTGAATTTTTATCAAATTCACATGAATGTATTGGAATTTTGACCAGGGAAGTATTAAAGTAATGAAATAAATGACTCATATAATCTCAGAAGATGTCAAGCCCATTTTTAACGGTCATCACTGAGTTGTAAATGATACACAACTACCCATATCTGTGGAGAAAAAAATACCAATAAAGAAAAGGATTTGATGACTTCTACAGCGCTGTCACCTTCACAGCCATCACCAAAAACTTCTCACATTCAACTATAAATAATAACCGGTTTTTTTATCCATGAAAGAAGTCGAGCTCTGTTTCAATGTAATGTAGTGAGAACTAGCTAATGATAGTAATAGACTACCACGAACTAAATAATTGAGTGTCATTGTAGGATTATTATTAGTCTAGCGATAGTTATTCAACGCTGAATTGAGAATCTGTAATTTTTTTATTTTTCATGTTAGAATACTATTTCGTAGTAATCTCGAATAAAAGAGTAACTACACAAAGTCAGTTGAATATTTGGACAGTTTGAGTAATCAACACTTGACATACTTATGAATATCGTTATGGAAATCTTTCAATCGTACGATATACAGATTATCATTTTCAATATTTATTAAATTACAGCTTCTCTAGTCATTGTTACAAAAGTTTATACTTTTTTCTTCTAGAACTTAGGATATGTGCTGTTGAGGAACGAATGGTTTAGAATATTTCAGACTATTAGCTGCAAATCAGTCATTTTCGAATTGAAATATGTTCAATGAACAATCAAAAAATTCGAAAAAAATCCATTCACAAAATATTGGACTTTACTGAAAATTCAAATATCGTTATAATGAATTCTTCCCATCCAATATTTTTTATCTTGTTGTTATCTGTTTATGGAAACTCAATAACTGATTTTTCAATTATTTTCTCACGTCTCAATGTGGTTTGTACATTTTTTTCTAGACAAGATGAATTTACTAATGAAAACACTTCTTCCTCGCTGAAACAAAAATGCTGTATCTCGAAGCACGTTTCGCTAACCAAGTTAGCATCATAAGGAGATGACTCAATTCTAGTTATCTCCTGATGACTCTTTTACATTTTTACATTCGCTAGTCCGATATTTAGTGAAAAAAAAACATGAAACATCTTGAATCCAAAAAAAAAGCAAACTGGTTGAAATTTCTCACTTAGAAATAATGAAAGTGTTGCTGAATTTCTTTCATTTCTAGTGTGATTCGATTGAGATCTGGCCTAATTCTATGTTATTCGATCTGTTTCAGTAGATTTCAGATATTCAGATATTCAGATATTAGACAAACTCATGAAATGGTGAAGCAAATAAAAAACAATTGAATCCATGTTCGTACATGCACTCAATTGTTTTTTATTTTCGATGCAAAATGTGGTGAAGCTCTGCCCCATTGATATCAATCATTTACGAGTATATCAATTTCGCTGACATTAAGTATTGACCTACATCATTCAATGTAGATTTTCTGTACTCTCATCTACAGTTCTGTTTGTTGACTGTTCCATTCAAACAAATGTTGGTTCTTCAAAATTTCTGGCCGCATACAGGGCATCGTCGTCAAGTATTTGAATCAAATAATTGTATATGAATGGTATTTTCCGTTCTTCAGTAGACACAATACCTACGTTTCTCTTCATTTTCGGTTTCAAATCGTGAATTACATTGGATATATAACACTTTATCCAAATAACAAATTATTTTCATCTAGTAAATGCATTTCTTACCTGATTAAGGAATATCTGTTCTGCAATCATGTTTTATCGCCACATTATGTTCAAATTATGATTAACTGAACAATCAACTCCAAATAACTATAATCTTATTTTTGGAAATGTGCAGTGGATAAAAAAATAAAACATATGATTTTATCTAGGTAATAAAAAATCATTGTCTGCGGAAAGTCTGCGAAATGATATCATTCTAATTTTTATCTTGCACAAATTTCAACTTTCCAGAATTGCCGTTCGGCATGCATCTGGTTAACGGATAATAAATCATTTTGAAGACATTTACGAATCGATAATTATAATGATTATTATTTTACTTCTTCAGATCTCGCATGTGGGTGCACTCAGTAAAGTGTTGCACATAAGAAGCTTTACATAAAATACTGATCAGGAAAATAATGACATGTTTCTTTTTTACGTTATATCCCATAAAAAACGATTCTCATCATACTCGTGAAGCCATCAGATGTCGTAATTACACTTTCTGAACAGCACATATATAAACCCATATTTACTTCCCCAATATCAATTAACATTGCATGTACATATTCCTGTAGCATTTTCGTTTTCAATAGCTAGAATTTGCATGTCGCTTAATGAATATGTATTAACACTCATGATGCTTGAAAATGATGATTGAAACAAGATTTTCTGCAAGAATGGACTATAATCTCTCCATTATTATATTCTATTTATTCAGACCATGTGAGACGACTTCAGAAACAACAGCAAATGTTAATTTTTGTTATTTTCGATAATCGAAAGTACTTATGCACTGAAACGGTAATCTTCATCAAACACTGGTACTGCCGACTTTTCCAGAAATCAATATTATTTGTTTTATGTCTTTGAAACTAAGTTACATCTTTGAGTTGTTTGTAGTACCACGACTCGCCACCTTTGTTGTCCGACATCCTCGCCGTTATGAACATACTTTTTACATTTCTCTTCCTATGTGAGACTGTTTTGAAGCTAATCGCTTATGGTATCAAGGTAAAACTATTACATACCTACCATATTTGTCCGCACATGTTTCTTATTTTTAATTTTCGTGGTGATATGTCTACTGAAAAATGCAAGTTCTTCAACTGTCCATTAGATTTAAGAAATAAATAATACTGGTGATATATTTGGACACTATTCAACTACCTACTAACTCCACTAGTTGAAGAGTTTTCATAGTGATTAGTATATCTCTAGTTAACGGAATACACAACCATCAATATTTCTGCCAAAAATTTCTGATCATAGTTCATTTTGAGAAATTCATTTTGAAAATTAAACATATTGAGGTTTTGTATTCCTTACGAAAGTTATTTGTAATCAAAGAATTGATTTATTCATGGTCACAAAGTCATGGATGTGTTGCTTTGTCGATTTCAAAAATTCATTCATTAATCATCATGAATCGAAAGCATACAGTGCTGTACTTTCAAATCGTAAATTGACAAAAATCTGTACGCAATCAATTTCAATCCACTCGTTAACATTTTTTAGATTTTGATGGTCGTTTTCTTTCTTTCCCTCCGTGGAATAAATTTGTAAGATGACATACTTCTGGAATGACATTCTCAGAAACATTACATGAAATCTGAGGGCAACCAGTTATTTTTATAACTTGCGCTGATATTGAACAATGATCTGATTGAATTGTATTCAAACATGCCATTCTATTGTATTATTTACTGATGAAGAGACTGAAATAGTTTCAAAGTCACCCTGACAGGTTCGTTTCGCCTTTTTCTTCAATACTTGCCAGCGCCCTTCTCGTGTATATAAGAGTGAGAAAGAGAGAGCTTCGTTGTTAGGTTTATGAATTATTCAAGGTGATTTGCATAACTTGTTCGATTGATGACATATTGATTCAATCAAATTTAAGTTTATTAATTTTCATTGCTTTCAAATGATTCAGGTTGAAACTTTTATTTTTTATATGTAAAATTTCGAAATCTCCGTAATAGATATGATTTGCTTCTGGAAGATGATTTCAATATATTATTTGTTTTTTTATATATACATAGCTCATATGATGTTCTTGGACGCAATTTCTGAATGTTTTACCGGTTTGACCAATATATACTTTAGGACAAGTTCCACAATTCAATTCACTTACTCCTGATTTCTCGATGTTTAGTCTTTATCATTTCTAACTAAGTTTCCCAACGTATTACATGTTCCACATTAATGCAATTTTAATTTGTTGTTTATTCAAAAATGAAGCTTCTTTTTCTGTTGTTTGTCCAAAATATGTTGAAGCTCTATGATTTTGGTTTGTATATCTATCTTATCAATAGGAAACACGTCTCGAATCTCATTTGCGTGGACTTTTTTGGGAAGTATTTTGCCTATTAATTCAGCTTGTATTCCGTTGTTTACTGAAATTTGCTCACTGATTTATTGAAATAATCTATTGAATGAGATACATTGACTAATCTATGAATCACGCTATTATAAGATGCTATTTTGTGTTGATACGGGTGGGTATAGAATCGTAATGAATAGTAATATCTGTATGGGAAGGTTTGTGACGAATTGAAAAATAATTTTTGTTGTTCATTTTACTGACTTTCAAGTCCAAGAAATCGATTGTGTTTGAATTGTCTGCTTCTACGTCAATAGTGAATTTAATGTTTCCATTAATTTTGTTAATATCCCTATGAAAAATATCTAATTGTCTCTTAGTACTGCACCATCAGCAAAATTTAGAAAGCTATAGTGAATTTCAACTTCAATTCAGTCCACGGAATTCATATGACTTAATAAATGAAATAAAGGACATAACTCTACCAGACAAGGCAAAACCAATATCTTTCGATGTGCAGAATCTCTTTCCCAGCATACTATTACTTCAGTAATAGAATTATTAAATGAAAATCGAGTGAACCCAGTTAAAACAAAACATTGACCTTTTGTCGTTATGTCTCGAACAAAGTTATTTTAAATTCAACAACAATATTTGTTCCTCTTCAAAACGTTTAATTATAAGATATCCGTTGAGTCTCTTACTTGCGAAAGTTTTCATGGATAATCTAGAGAAGTCGATTCTTAAGCATCGCTTCACTGAGTATTTGTTGTATTAGCATGGATATGTGTATGACGTTTCGGTATGTTTCACAGGTTAGGTTAGGTTAGGTCCAAAGTGAGTGGGTCTATTCGACCTTTCACCGCAAACCTCAAAGGGTTTATTGTGGCTCACACCTATTCACACTCGGCCAAATAAACCCAGTTTCTTAACGAATCCGAATAATTTGAATGGTAAGTGGTCTTTCAGGTCAGATGATAAGAGAACGGCCCTGCAGGCACAAAGTATATGCTCTGTTAATAAGGTGGTCGGATAGTCAAGTTGCAAGATTTCCACTTTCATACCCACGACAACTTTACCATATGAGGGTTTTTGCACGTCAGCTACACCTGACGATGCCTTAGATTCAGCTGTGCAAGGCCTTTTCGCCTCTGGTTTTGGTGAATCATCACTTGAGCGCAAACGTTTGCTAATCTGCTTATGGAGGGTTTGTTTCCCCACCTGAGACAGATTCTGCGTACGCCACCGCTCTTGCTCCCGAACTGAATTAACAGAGAGGTCAGTTGGAGTAGTCAACTCGACATCCATCTCCTCTGTAGATTTGCTCCTGAACTGAATTTACAGGGAGATCAGTTGGAGTCGTAAACTCGACATCCATCTCCTCTGTAGACTCGCTCCTGAACTAAATTTACAGGGAGGCCCGTTGGAGTCGTAAACTCGACANGTATACTGAGTAAAACAGCGACTCCATGGACAAAATGAAAAAAAAACAACGTGTTAAATTCTATAAAATAAAATAAAATAGAACAAAGGAAATTCCGCCAATTTTACCATGCTATTTACTATCAAATTAACCTGTTGAACAACTACAAACGCACCAACTCAGTACAAAATACGTTTAGTTTTACTCTAGGGAGAGTGGTGTATAACATTTAATTTGCGCCCTTTTTTGTAATTGTAATATGAACTCTAGCTAAACAACCCGCACTAGGAACTCAACAATATATAACCTCTCTGCAAATAGGAAGTGAACTCAGACAAAATAATATGTGAACTTTCTCAATATCAACTAGTTAGTAAAAAAACAAACACTCACATAACGCCTCTCTGATGGTTCATATTCAACCATAGGTTCCGTTGAACCGGTGTGTCTTAAACACCAACACTTTTATTTTAAACTCCCCTACACCCAATACTGGGTAACCATTTCACTACCGATTTTCCTTAAATTTCGCACCACGCCCTCAGACAAAGTAACTTCCCTATTTAGGCCACCTTCCTCAGCCTCGAAGGCTGAGGGAAGAGACCCCCGATCTCGTTTCGACGTGACCGACTTTTTGTGTCTCTCGCAAAAACTCCCAAGCCCTCGCGTCAGCAACGCTAGTCACAAAAACCTCATCTCAGCGTTCTTTAACTCTCCCAAGCGTATGATCATCGGCAGGATGTAATAAATACATAAAAACCACTAATTCAGTGAACAAATTGCAGTAAAAATGGATTTAAAGCTGAATTCATAGACAACTTACTTTACAAAAAAGTCCAAGCAAAAAATGTGATTCTGGACGTTTTTATTATTGATAAGATAGATAATCGAAACCAAAATTATAGTGGTTCAACATATTTTGGACGAACAACAGAAAAAGTGGCATCATTTTTTAATAAACAAAATATTAAATTTGCATATAGATCAGGTAATATGCTGGCAAAGTTAATTAAAAATAATATATTCAAAACATCCAAATTCGAGGAATCGTTCCTATACAAATTCAATAGTGAAACTTTTCCTAAGGACATTTAGGAACCGCACCCAGAAACATCATATGTGGTATATAAATAAGAAAACAAGTTCAACATATTCAAATTATCTTCTAGAAAAAAATCATATTTTTAACAGAGAAATTTAGGTTTGAAGCCGAATCATTTGAAAGCAATGAAAATTAGTAAGTTCAAAAATTCAAATATTTGACTGAATGACCAACTGTATATAAATAGATCACCGTTACTGAATTTATTTTCTTATGAACCGATGTTATTCTAGTCTTCGTATAGAAGATGTAGAATTGATATAATGTGCTAAACCTAAAGGTTTTCGTAATTGAGGATGTGCTTTAGGTATACGAGAGTTGAGTAGATGCTTTAGGTAATTTTCATCGAGTAAGTACCTGTGTAGGTAGATCTAACTGGTGATTATTGAAAATTAGAGTTAATAATTAACTTATAGTACATTATTTACTACGACAAAGCGAAACATGCAGCTTTTTCAGCTGTAGGAGAACCCAAAAAAACCTACAGCACCACATCATCTGAAGATCTTGATCTGCCAATGTCTTCTATCTTATAAAACAAAATGTAGGGTGTCTCCAGAGACTCCAATAAATTCACTACATCGCCAGAATACTTAGTGACACGACTATCGTCAAACTTAAACCAGTTTGTTTTGTCTGTGACCAAGGCGTAATAATGACCAAATTCAACGCCAGAACTACAGTGAACAATGACTGCATGAATATTATAGTAGTGGTCAGCTAGATTGAAGTGTTCATCTATTTCGAAACTTCGTAAGAGTTTGGTACTTCCGTCAGAGTTTGAGTCATGTTTGAAGATCAGTATTATTAGATTGACTGGTGCCTCAGCTATACTTGTTTTCTTATAATAGTCAGTTAGTTTGGCGCATGTTTGGCAATACAGTTGACCATCACTTGTTGACAGTTACATTTTCAGATTATTCAACAATAAGCTTTGCACGGACTGGTTATTAGTCATATTAGGAAGCTCTAGTTGAAGTTCCAGAAATTCACATACGTTTTTGCTACCTCTTGAACATTTTCTACAAAGTAAACAAGTGAGGATTTTTCCAGCAAAAGATTTATAAACACAAGACTGAACGGAATCATTCAATCCAGAGCGGTCAGGAGTACTGATTCTGCTATTGTTTTGTACACGAAGAGTATTCAACAAGTACTCCAAGTATTCGAAACAATCCTCCTGTTGTCCTAACGAGTATCTAGTGGACTTTAAAGACTCCAGGAAATTGGTTGGAGGGAAAGATGATACATTTTTACAAAACTGCAGCTGCATGAACAGGTGTTTGAGTTTGATGAATAAGTAGGGAACATTCTCGTTCTCGTTCATCATTAAAATCTCGTGTTTCCTAAATTATCTAATCCAATCTTCTTCTCAAGATTTTCTTGTTCTTCCTTACTAATTCGTAAGGAAGAACATATTTGATATAACCTACATAAGAACCATTTCTCAGGCTGTGATCGATCCTTACAAGTGATGAAGGGTATCGTAGAGGGATCGATTGGGCTCTTGCTTCATGAAGCTCTTCCACTGAAAGGGAACCAGAACCAGAAGAAGGTGGATCAATAACTTTCGAATTAACCTTGATAGGAAACTGATGAATATCCACATATTTCGGCTTGTTTCGAAGAGATTTTAGTTCCGTACTGAAATGAGGGCAATGCGTGATCTCATCAAAATTATGTGAAGGTGGAATAGTTCCAAGGACTGAAGCAGCATTACCACGTTGAATAGAAATACTAATTCTTCCTATCAAAAAAGAGGTAGAACGGTAATCTTTCATTGCTTGGCCTATTCTCCTTCCGAATTCATGAACGAATAACAGAGACTCCGGGCCATAAACACCAAAAGTTTCAACCGTTACTGGATGTAACAGATAGTTGTTACTAAGATTTTGGTATTTTTTTTCGTTTCAATTTTTCGCCAGACAATGCTGCGGTCCCAGCAGACTTCGAACTTTCGGCTAGATGGGAAGCCGTGACCGTGTCAACGCAAGTGAAGTCCCATACCACAGGTTTACCGTATTTCCATGGTATGAGAGACATACCATCTGGTCGTTTACCATCATCTCGACTGGTACCTAAGGGTTCCAGAACAGACAACATAGCTCGTTTCAATATGTCGTTCAACTGGTGATGTCGAGATGTACACCCTGCACTTCTCCTGCAACTCAAACCATTTGTACTTTTCTCATCAACTATATATACTACCGCAAACACAACTATGAGGCACACAAATAGATGAACCCATCCTAAGTCCTACTGCTATTCTGAAAGATTCATCGTCTAACAGTGTTTCAAGAGATGCAACAGGTAAAGCATTCAGCCAAGCACCCGATTCCTTAATCATTGCTGCTGTCAGATGAGCCTTATCGTATACACTTTTAGATTCCAGTGTAGATTTCAGAAGTTTATCATCAGTTATAATGTTCGTACTCGTATTTGTTTCTATCACTACGGAAAATGGAACTGATATATTATTTCGTAATGAATATTCACAAACACGATCCTTTATAAAATATAATTTTTCCTCATTTGCTTGTCGTTGAATACAAAACTGTTATGTTTGCATATGTGTAGGTCATAGTGTTCATAAAAATAAGAAGATTGCGGTTTTCCCGGAACAACGGTATATTATACTCATACAGACTTTAATAAGTATTCAACTCATCCAACAGGCTATTGATATTGCGTAAAAATGATTCAGAATGTTTTCAATATAGAATATTGGTTCATAGTTTGTGTGAAACTAACATTATCAAATATGGGTGTCGAATTCGAATAATGGTTGCCAAACTAATAATAACCAGAAGTATGTCATCAATTCAAATGAAGTTCAGTAGGTATTATACCAAAAGAATGAAAAATCGAGTAACTAACTTTCGAAAAACTGCTGCGTGCTTACTCATTGATTATTTCAATTTTCACAGAATTTCTTCAAGGATCCATGGAATACCTTTGACTTTGTCACGGTCATAGGGAGCATAGTGGATGCAATGGTTGTGGAGTTTGGAGTAAGTATATTCAAAAGAAGGTCATCTCCATGTCCTCAAACATATTCACCACTTAAACACACTTTTATATAGATTTCGACGTCCCATATAAAAGGTATAGGAATGAGTATATCGCACGTTTCTTGAGCACATAGAAAATTTTAATTATTTGCACTATTTTCATCTGAGAATGTTGAAATTTTAATTGAAATCTGATTTTATTCAAGGAGAGAGCTGCCCAAATGACAAAGGAACGGGTAAGATATCAATTTTTTTCGTTTTATTTTTAACAACGTCACCTGATAAGAGCTAGCTTTAGAAAAAAGTTAACTAGAAGTAAATATGTTATAATAGTAAATATCAATAGAACCTTCAATTCGTCTTGCAATAGTCCATTCTACGTTTAGTCTAGAAATATTTCTAAATGTTCACAAATAGGACATCTTTTTATACCTATTAGTTTCGACAGAAATCTTCCTAGTATAGTAAACTTGCCAGGAGAATCAGTAAGCTCAAAATAGTATATTCAAGGTTAGTTGGCATGTATGTACTTAGTTGTCAACTGTCTAGATTTTCATATTCTTAATATATAATATTGTTGTAGATGAAGGAACTTGATTTGCCTGCGCTCATTGGAAAGTGGATGCAGGTATGTATTTTCAGATTTTCGAAAATATGTTGGAGACAATTTCAGTTTTTACCAATCAATATTCAATGAGCTGTAATCGAATAAGTGGTAATTGCTGTAGTAAATTATATGGATGAAAATGTGAAAGAAAGTGATTAGAGAAAGTGATATTATATAAAGATGAATGAGGGTGAAATCAGCAAAATTATTTGTTCTCCAGCTCAACAGTAAACAATAAATTTTCAAAAATCTGAAAATACATTAGTAGAGATAATATGCATGTTTACAGTAGTTAATTATTAGTTTTTTTAAATATACCTTTGGTGAGTAAATGGTGAGTAGAAAAATACACAGCATACACAAAAAACACAATACACAAACACACATAATTTTTATAATATAAAAGTGACTTTCCGAAATATGGAAGGACACGGAATGAATTACTTCGGGTAATATGTTATAACCCTGTGATAGTTTTAGTTTAAATTTAATTTTCAATATCTTGATCTTGATTGTTATTATGTTGATGATAACTATAGTGATCTAACACAAACATTGTGATCCCTCATCGAATTCGCAGAAGGGATTTTCNGTTCGATAGTCAACAAACAAATCTGTTTTTTCCTCACGTCTCCAATAATTTCTCCAATGGAAGCAATTTTTACTCTCTTTATGTTGTAATATATTTTTCTTTCGTTACATAGCTAATGACAGGTGTTCTTCGGAAGCATTTAAGTCAAAGGCAGAACCAAATTTGAAAAATGAAAAGAGCGCCACCAAGTCTTTCAATATGGTTTTCAATTAGGTGAACCTGAGAACTTGAGAGGAAGACATGCAACAAGAGGAAAGAATTGAGATTATATCTCCCAAGTTCAAGTATTTACATATATTAACATTCATCTGGAATAGCAAAGTAGAAGGGTGGTTTCTCATTCACACTCCAAATTTAGATAATTCAAAGTGCCTCAATATCAAACTCAGTCCAACATTCAATAAATAACTGTCAATACTATTGAGAAAGTGTGAAAGTTGTGAATATCTAGTTTCATATTATCAGTGGATGAAAATTCATTTATTTTCATAAAAAGATGATAGCTGATACTATAATTCAGAAAATATATTATGGAAGTTTGATAATGCAAATTGCAAAATGTTACATGTTAAATGAATCCTATTGACCTCCATACGAGTTTTTGTCTGATGCCTGACAACGAAGTCCTATCCAACTCTGTGCTAATCCAAGACAGACAAAACTGGAACTCTGATAAAAAAGTGATGTGTAAGCTTCCTCTCATAAAATTAATCGAAATTTTTGAGTCTTCCTGTACATCTTCGGTACCAAAATATAATTATAGAATTTTTTTTTGGATAACTTAATAAATGGTTTATATCAGATTATAACAAATATGAAGCAGTATTAGAAGTTCCTTCGCTCTCTTCACATCATTCGAAATGGAGGCAGTAAAGTGAAGAAATTAAATTCGACAATTCTAATTTTTGGCGAATTTTTCGAAATATATAAGAAAAGACACTATTTCAGTTCCCCAAAATGGAAAACTTTTGTTCAGTTTAAATGACCTTCTAGGTCTTACCGTTTTCGGGATAGCAATAGTGGAATCAGCTAGAAAAACGCCCTGTATACATATATATGTTTTTACGTTTCTTAGGTATTGTAGTCGAAGAATTTCTCAAGGGCTGAATATGGAACCCTATTTTTCGTTATTCAAGGTTTCTGAAAATTTTATTTTATTTTTCAAGAATATCCACAACAATAAAAATGGAAGCAAACTATGAATGAATAAAATTTCAAAAGAAACTCAGTAAAGATAGAAAAATAATTTACAAAAACACATAAATTTTGACTAATGAAATATGCCAAAAAAAAAAATCTAAAGTAGAATGATTTATCACATTACCACTTCAACACTCTGCGCATCNTCAAGATCCTCACAGACCGAGTGATCACGAACCCATTTCTGTTATTTCCATATATGTATACGCATGATGGAACACATTGTTCCATCGTGGGTACTTGTTTTCTTACTTTCATATAGAAATATCAAAATTATGTATTTCTCAGAAATAATAGCTTAGTTGCCAGATGTAAACAGTAATCGTAGTTTTTTTATTCCGTTATTTTCATGCTCAAAAATGTCTTCCTTAAAATCAATAGTGAATTGATATGCCTTCAATTTTCAGGAAAATTTTATCAACGTTGGTTTTCTGAGATTATTTCGAGCAGCTCGATTGATAAAATTACTTCGTCAAGGGTATACCATAAGGATCCTTCTATGGACGTTCGTTCAAAGTTTCAAAGCTCTTCCATATGTTTGCGGACTCATTGCCATGCTTTTTTTCATCTATGCTATCATTGGGATGCAGGTAAGATGTCACGTATCTACGAAAATGAGTTTCACAGAGAATTCAGAAAAAACCCCAGGTTTCACATTTTCACGAGTTTTGAGGAATTTACATTTTTACAAAAATCTGTATTTTTGGAAAAAGCAAAAATTTTTGTGGAAACATCGAGGTGATCTCGGCAACTTTTTTCAAAATAGAGTAGTAGTAAGTGCAAAAGCTGAAATTTGAAGCTTGATTTTTACTTTCCGAAATAATTTCTTTACTGAAATGCTCGATTTTCAAACAGTACAATGAAAAAAATGATACTTTCTGGTGGAAACTATAACATTTTATGCCGATTGAGGCAAGTTCTCATTTGTTAAAAAAATCACATTACTTCAGTTCATTACTTTAATTTCTGCTAAATGATAAAACCGCAAATTCTATTGAAATTGCTTCGTATTAGTTTGTGATCGACCATAAAGAACAACAACTAGAAATATCAAACTTATTGTTAGTAAAGGTATTGAAAGTTATTAAATGCAGGTGATAAGTTCAGTTTACCTTTTGAGATTTGTTGAGAGTTGTTTCTCAGAATATCGAAATGCCTCATATTCAGCTGAAGTATGCTGAAATACACTTCAACTATAGTTTTCGTCACACTCAAATAGATTGAACCATCCCAGAAAGACCTGAAATTCATGATTTTGACCAGATTTGAGAAGATCCTTTACCTAAAATACAAAGTTTAGCACTAAATACTGGTATACACAGAACAACAGTTGCGAGCAGTTTGAGAAGGCAAGTATTTCGTCACTACCATATCTACCATTTGCATATGTGCAAGCACTGGCGAATCAAATTTGATATTTAAAGTTAATAACCTACTTGATTGGGCAGTATGGATAACCAAAGAATAATACAAAAAGATAACAAAAATCTGAAATATGATCAAAGACCTATGAAATGATCCACGACCATTCAAAAATGTCCTCATTATACTCTCTCAGGTTGTTATAACAAACGCAATTCTTTTATCATCGTCGGAACTGCAACATTGCTAATTACCAATTCAATCTATCTATTTTTATTTTAATGTTAACTGGTATCAACTAAGCGACTGACTGAATGACTGAATGTCCAAGCCAAACAAAAAAAACTTCGAAAGAAATTTCATCAGACGCCAATACCAATACAGCCAATGATACCAATATATGTAATATTATGTATTATATAATAATTACTGGGTTATATAAACCACTGAAGGTTCTAATAAGCCAGTCACTTGTCGTATTCATGAATTTTGCCTACAATTCGAAAAAATCAATTGAAAAAATTTTAATTTTCATACTTTCTTCAGTGGTCGACGTTTTGGAAAACAATCTTTTTTCGTTTTCAAAACCTGAAATTCACTATAAAACCTTCATCTCAAATTATGATAGCTCTAATTCTTTTGACGTACGTCAAAATAATGAAATGTCCAGATCTCATATGCATATGCAATAGTCTACATGAATACATGAACTGGATTTTTTTGAGAATTCAGTTAAGGTTCATATTTCCGATTTCAACCTTGCTTCTTGGTAATGGCAAACAGGTACGATTCATTTTCACAGAGTTATTCAAAATAACTCCTGCTAAAAGAGAATATGTGGATTCTTTTAGTTTATTTTTTCTCTCACACATCTAGAGATTTTGAGGTTTCACCTATATAACTTCTTTCACAGAAACAAGGTACTTTGTAAATACAATATTTCGTTTTCCGACCGTATTTTAGGGTTCAGTATGTGTTGAAACAGATCTCAATGTGTTGGTAGTTCTAAAAGTTATTCTTACATCATATCTTTAATCGATTTGTCTCAATTTTTCAGACAAACCGGGAACATCTGGTATGACGTTACTTGGCAGATACGTGTGTTATTGTTGGGTTGGTTATGTGGAATACTTGTGGAATCTATATATGAGGGTTACTGTTTTCACCAATTTCTCATTTTCCTCCACAATTGTTTTAATAATAGTTACTTTCTCTTTGCAAACTGCACATTTCTTGAAGAAATTGGAACGTACATAATTTTTCAGCAAACTTTTTTTTAATCATGGAGAACAACCTCTGAAAAATCAGAGGAAATTAGTGTGAAATAAGTTTTTTAAAAAATATATTTTTTTCCCGCATTAAAATGAGATAATTGTTTTGTTTATAATAATAAACATACCAAGGTCTCTCTCAGCTTTCCACCAATAGTGCTTTACGTCTACGGTGACATTAAAAAATTAGATTCCTACGTAAGAAAAGAATAAGAAAATTTTCCTATTGAAAATTGTAAATAGAATGAGAATAAATTGATGGATGTTTTTTTTTCAATTGGTGATTTCTACAGAAATGAAG